TGTAGAGGACTAGCGTCAAGTCAAAACAAACCCTGTATTGAAGTACCATGTCTAAGCCAGACTGATTGTGTGACTCTGGGAAAGTCACTTCATCTGTGTCGTGGGCAGCTCCTTAAAGATGATGAGCTGCAGAATAACCCATCTGTAGTGGACAGAATTTCTTCACAGTTTCCTTACATCAATGAAATCACAAATCCAAGAGAGAAAAATATTACAAACAATAAACATTTTAAATAAATTACCTATCATATATTTATATTTTGTATCATGTACAGTATAGTCATGTACTTTTATGTTTAATATATAATTTTATGTACTTTGTTGTATATGTTAAAAATGTATATGTATGCAATAGAATATTATACTTTGGGTTGATATATATGAAGAAATCCTTAACAGATTATGTGAAATAGAGGAAAAGGAAACAGCAGATCATAAAAAACCAAGTCTGCACACACCGTCACTATTTTTTTTTAGAATATCTATATGGAGAGATGATTTGGAAAGCTTTTGGAACAGAGTGACTGCTAATTTGTCAGGAATGTTTTGTGTCTTGAAATTTTTAGCTCCACTCCTGCTGCTTGATGCTTGGCTTTTTTCTTCTCTGGGGCTTCACTTTCCTCATCTATAAAAAGAAGTTTCACTAAATGACTAGGTTCCTTACAAGTCTAAATCTGTAGTTATTATACAAATAGTTGTAAAATGTGTTTGATTTATTAATGTTTCAGTTAAAAAAACTAACGAACTATCATTTTCTTGAACAACTATTGTGTTCAACTCCTTTAATGTCCTTTTTAAAAAAATGTCCTTTTTGATGTCCTTTATTTTAAAAAAAAATTAAGCTGCCTCTCTTGAATAGTCATAAAAAGAGTAAGCAGTCCCAAATAAGGAATCTGTGGAAATTGATTATAGTTTTCATGTCATGAAAGACATCATTATATACTTCTAGGCTAAGGAAAATGGAGGGGAGGGAACTAGAATTTATCCAGAAGGAGAAAGAAAATCCTTATTTTTAAAAAAAAATAAAAGATACTAGAAATGGCACAGGACTCTCAAATCATAGTTAAATACCCAAAATGTTTAAAATTATTGTTCTAGTCAATTTTTTTTATATTAAAGAATTGTGTTTATTATTTGGTTTTGTAAATTGTTTTATATTAAATATTTCTCCTTGATCTTTAAATGCACAAGAGAAAAGCAATGAAATTTTAAAGAAATCTTACTTTTAGGATAATGGAAAAAGTATGCAGTTACTTGAGCAAAATATGAGAGTGGTTCTGTATTCTGTTAACAGTAAAGAACAAGTAAATGAACCAGTTTCTCTGGCTGAATTGACAAAACGACTTTCAGAAGCAAATAAGAAAATGGCTGGATTTCCTGAGAATATTAAGGTAAAATCTGTAACTATATTCTTTGCTAAAAACTACATCTTTTCAGTTTACTCTACCATCATTAATAATTCATTATTATCTAGTCTTAAATGCCATTATTCTGGATAAAATTTTGCTCTTTGAACAGACTGAACGGATTAACTACATGTAACAAACTATGTCATTCTGAACCTACATATTGATGAATGGTCAGAGTAATTTGGTAATTGTGGATAGACATAACGATCACAAATCAAGATGGAAAAAGGCCAGATACAGATAAGATAATTTAATAGGGAAAAACCCTGGATTTGGAATCAAAAGTCTTATGTCAGTCTCAGGTTTATCAACAATTTATTTCCCATAAGACCTTGAATAAATCATTCTCACTAAAATTTTATTTCCCCAACTCTAAAATGACAGCAGGTTCTTGCATTACCAGACTCACAAGGTTATTATAAATATCAAATGAGAGATTTTATCATAAAGTACTTTGTAACTGTAAATTACTTTATAAAGCTCAGTTGTTCATGTAAATTAAAATTAAAACTTGATTTGAACAGTATTCTAAATTTCCAATTCCCTCTTTAAGACCAGTAGTCTTAAGTATTGTTTTTGAATCTCATGTTTTGAGTTTTATCTTTGGAGAAGTATTACATAGTTAGTGGCCATTCTGATTTATATTGACCTCTTTTCTTTCAGACTTTTCCCTTTCCTGATGTGTTAGAATGCTGTCTTGTAATGCTTCATATTGGATCCCAGTGTTCTGGGTATTTGAGTCTGGACATGCAGCAACAAGTCTTAGAACTCCTTCAGAAATATGGCAAAAGCAAAGTTTACAAAAGAAATTTTCAGATTTTCTGCACGTGAATTTGAAGCCCTTTTACTGAAGATTGTTATCATACCTAGGCTGAGACAAAGGACATCTTTTCACTTCTGCAGTTTGCTCCTCCCTGGCCCTTCTTCCTGAGCTGTGGACACTTCTGAAAGATGATCCATAAAATAAGGGGCCAGATGTGCTCAGACTAATTGGTCCATAATGGATCCCAACTCTGCTTGTGAAATTAAAAAGGACTTTCACCTCAACTATCATTTTCTGTTGAGGGGAAAATGATGGCAGGCCAGCAGTTGTTGCTCAGAAATTACCCAGCATAGCAATCTCAGTGACCTTCAAACCTGTAGGTTTTACCCAACTAAGAGAAACTTGTATTTTTTTCTATTGTGATAAATGTGTTACATTCTTAAATACACAGGCTGCCTTTAAGTAAAATTTTAAACCATATGCTTCTGTGAAGATGGGAGTTATTGCCAACCTGCGTCATCCATAGTCTGTTATCTGGTCTCTTCTCTTTTTCAGCATCCAGGCTTGATAAGGAAAGTCAAAATAGACTTCCTAAATGCTCTCAGTATAAGTGCTTCTCACGTAATCTTCCCTCACCCCACCCCACCCCCCCAAAAAAGTGTAAAATCACATTTCTGATTGCAAAGAATTAGCACTTGGCATCTCATTATGGAGGGCTAAAGTCTCATGACTTAGAAATGCAACTTTCATACAACAGTTAAGTGGAGTTTTTTCCCCCTTTCAAAGATATTTTTAGAAATGGCCTCTATTCAGACCAATATAGCAGAAATTTGTTTGAACAGCTCAATTGTTAAAGGTACAAAATGTCTCATGACTATAAGGGCAACCACCCTGAGGAAAGGCACCTCAAAATCTCTATGGTTTACATTTGTAATAGCACTTCTGTTTTTGTTCATGCTTTTTATAAACTATAGGCGTTCTACAAAATATTTTGGTTGCATTCTAAAAATGGTTTTGAAATGTAGGTTAAACATCTAAATTGGTTATTAGAAGAGCCCAGTGTATAAGGATGCCAATGCTAAAGTTTGTCATTCACCCATTAGAGTTCTATTCCTTTGGCTCTTGAGGGAAGAGCTAGAAGGCCTTAAGGAATACAAGTTATAAAGAGGCAGATTTCAGCTCAACAAAAAGAAAAAAAATCCTCCAAATGAGAACTGTCCAACAAAGAAACGGACTACCTTAGAAGGGAGTTTTCCATCACTGCAGGCTTTGTAGATAGTTTAATGACTTTAGTGAATCCTGTTGCTGCTGAGGTGAGGTGCCTTCCTACTGAGATTTTCTTTTTTGTCTTTACTCCATTTTAAAAATAAAAATCACCTAGACGCAGATGGATATAATCAGGTAACACTTTGTCAATGACAGGATATAGGAGGAAAGAAAACAAAAATAACTATTTTGACCAGCTGTGTTCTTAAGGTTGAAAGTAGAACTTAATTTTCTGCATTAAAATAAATGGTCTTATTTGGATACAGAGGGTATCTTAACAAAACCATATGATGAGTTTTACCATGTACTTAAGTGACACCATACTCCAATGAAAAGAAAGGATGATCTTAAGTTGTAGCAAGATAGCCACAGCTAGAACATTGCTACTAGAGTTATTTCTAAATTGGAAAGGAAGTCCTGTTGTGGAGGGATCTTGAGGAGACTTTTTTTTTTTAAGGCAGCTGGGGTTAAGTGACTTGCCCAGGGTCACACAGCTAGTGTTTGGTCTGAGGTCAGATTTGAACTCAGGTCCTCCTGACTTCAGGGCTGGTGTTCTATCCACTGTGCCACCTAGCTCCCCCTTGAGGAGACATTCTTACGACAGTTGTTAAAAAAGACATGAAGGTCCTAAGACTGGCAATAAATTGCACAGCAGGGATAGCAGGTATTGTTAAAATTAAGAATGCTCATATAGAAAAAAAGCCTTATTCACAGGAGTGGGTTCAAAAGGACTGTTGCTGAGCTACAAGGGAATTTAGCCCTGACCCACAGCTTAACCCAGTTATATTCTGATATTCCAGTGAAGGCTACTCTTCCTAAAACATTTTTTTTTTTAAGGCAATTGGGGTTAAGTGACTTGCCCAGGGTCACACAGCTAGTAAGTGTCAAGCGTTTGGTCTAAGGCCACGTTTGAACTCAGGTCCTCCTGACTTCAGGGCCGGTGCTCTATCCACTGCGCCACCTAGCTGCCCCTAAAACATTTTAAAATTACATTTCTGTTAAGTCTTCAGCGATTGTCCTAAATATTATAATATTTTGCCTGGGGATAAAGGAATCATGTACTGCAGTGAAACAACTGAGGACCCCTAAGCAGAATTCTAACGAGATTTGGGATACCATAATAAGACAGCAACTCTAATTCTTTCCTGCACACTTGGTGAACATAATTGGTATTTTAATCTGAAAGATAGTTGTCATGTGCTTCTTTAGCCCCTTAGTTGATGGACTAGCTATCACAAAACAGTTTGGCCAGTTAGGGGTTTTTATGCCAGACCAATGAACGACAGCAGTTCACAAAGGACCTGGGTTTGGAGCTGGAGACCTTCAGTATCACCATAATTCCTTGTAGCAAGTATATCAACAATTTGTCAAGGAAACAAAGGCCTCACAATTGGCAGAAGGTCCAATTGTAAACACACAGATGTGTATACAATCATAGTTTATGAAAATAGGGATATGTGGGCACCGACAAAGGGCACTGGGATTGTTCCCACATCAAGAGAGGCTGAGTATAATGTTCCAGGGCCAGCAATTTGCAGCTGGAAAAGACAAAACCATACCAGTGGTTAAAAAAGTCTTTATTTTACAAAATTAAAAACATAAATATTTACAAGCATTTTAAATACCAGCTTATAATACCTGAGACATGATTAAAGTACCACAAATTGAATCTTCCATAAGCTTGTTAAAATAAGGCTATCTACTTCAGTGAGTAACCAGTTTCATTCCCTCCAGTGCAACAGGGATTTTGATCTTCAAAAAAGAGTCCACACTGCAGTTATTCAAGAAATAGACAACTTAACTCTTGAATGACTAGATTTTAAAACAAAAAGAAAAATAATTGTCCTGAGCTTTATTTATACTGCAGATGTGGGAATATTACTTCCAAGAGAACTCTATAAACAAAAACTGAATCCCTTTGCTGCCCTTCTTACATTTAACCACCTCCTCACCTTATCTTCAGACTCACTGAAGGGAAAAATAAGGGAGAATGAAAAGAAAGAGGAGTGCTAGAATCCCAAATCCCCATCTGAAATTATTTTCCTATTTTGGAAGACAGTTGGTCCAAAGTTGCTGTTTAGGAAACAGAAATTGGGAGGCTTTTCTCTCCATCTATTCCAAGATGTTTTATCAAAGTAATACCTAAAAAGACTTCAAAGGAAGCACAAGATACAGCAAGTCTCTGGCATGATGGAACAATAAGACATCTGAATGGCCAGATATTGAGTTCTGGAAAATGCCATGACTGAAGGGTAGACCAACAGTTGATTTTTTTTTACTTTTAAGAGAAGAAAGTTTCCATTTTAGCAGTGAGCAAGCAGTTCATTTCTATATAATATGAAGAAAAACTAGGAGACATAAGGAAGAAAAAATTCCCTTAGGAGAATTTAAAAAACCAAGCATGTACAAACTCGTCCACAAATATACCATTTTATCCTGTTTTCACTGGCAGATCTCAGCTCAGCTAAGTATCAGGTAAATCTTTATTCTCAGAGATTAGCAACAAATTTTAAAATGAAAAGAGTGACAACAGATAAGAGTTATATACATTTTACTTGTTTGTTTCTGACTTGTCCCTGATATTAAAAAGGTATCCAGACAGCCATAGATGCTGGTGGTAGATGGCAACTGGAGAGGAAAGGACTGGGGATGAGGATTGGTGAAAGACTTGTTTACAAATTCACAGTGAAATTCTTTAATCTGATCTAAAATGAAGATATCACTTGTCTTCAGTAAAACAAAAGTCTTTCTGCTCAATGCAGACTGTAGAAACCATTCACTCAATAGAAGCTCTTTCTGTTGGGAAAGGAGAAAGAGATACACACATACAGAGACCAGTCAGGACAGTAAGCACCAGTACTGAATTGGGCCCATCCTGCAAAGCCATACCCGTCATTATTGTTGCATGTTATTGATAATAGCCAGTATGCTCATTTTCTCCTGAGCGGAGTCCACATCCTCATTCTGTTTCTGTGCCACTCCTGTGCCAAGGCCATAGAGCCGACCACAGTATTTAGCATCATCAATACTGTCCTCAAAAAATAACTGGAGAAAGGACAAAAAGACCATTATGAGAATAACAGTAAGAAGAAGCCTTTTAAAAGAATAAAACACTCTACCACTCACCTGTGTCCTAGCCATCACAACACTGTAAACCTGATATCAGCATAAGGCTTTGTGCCTGTGCGTGTGTGTGTGTACGCATGTGCTTTAGCACAAGGGCATATAATACTGAATAATTTCAGTCCCTACTGGCTTCAAATGGCCATATATACACCCTTAGGAACTTTCCATTCTTTTACTCTTCACTTCATTGAGTAATAACTGCTTCCTAACTAGAAAAGGACTTTGCATAGTTTGAAAATATTCTGTTTACAAAACAACTCTAAAGAAAGAGGGAGTATAATCACCATTTTAGAGAAATGATGTGGTAAGCTTGACACCAGAGCTTCACATCCTATCTCCAGTGATCTTTCCTGTATATCATGCTATCTTCGTAACTAGAATGTCTCAGGACTGGGAGAAGCTCAGAAAGACATGACTTCAAATGCTGTTTCCAACACTGGCTAGCAAGTCATAATCTTTCTGAGCCTCAGGTGCCTCATCCGTAAAAAGGGGATAGTACCTTTCTACTTCTAAAGTGATATGTATTAAAGTGAGTACATTACACTCACAGCATTGTTGTAAAGATCAAACAAGATAACGTATGTAAAAATCTTTTGCAAACTTTACAAACAAGTATTACTTATTCCTACCCGACATTTTCCACCTCTCCATTTATCCCCTTTGTCACACTTCTAGCTCAGATAGCATCCAGTTCTCCTGACTTAATGTGACACGATGCATCACCTCCTACCAAGTCATAAAGTCAGTGCCTCAAAAGCATCAACATCATTAACATTTCAATTTCCAAGGTAAATACTAACACTTCAGAAAGCAATGTGTTCCAAGGAAAGAACATTTTGCTGGGGAATCAAGACTTCTATATTCTAGACCAATTCAGACTGTGTGATCTTGGACAAATCATTTAACCACAATTTCTCCATTTGTAAAATGAGGTTGGACTAGATGATATATAGTCTTTTCCAGCTCTAACATTCTTAGATTCTACTTCAAAAAGTAATTGAGGAGGGTAGGTAAATAAGGAGCCTAAAATGTGGGTTCCAAGCTATTTTCAGATTCTTAATTAGGTGGTTGCAGAGGACTCTCAATACATGTTACAATTAACAGGCTTCTGCATAAATAAAATAAATTGATAATCTAACAAGTTTTTTTTTAATCAGCAATTAGTTTCTTTTGGTAATCTTGGGAAGGAAGCAAAACATTGAATGGATTACAACTTGCCTAATTATCTACAATATTTTCACATTAAAAGACACTGGGCTGCTATCACAGTGTTATATGTTTCATTTATCCCTCAGACTGAATTAAACTATTTGAGCTCCAGAATATCTTGTTATGGAAGGAGAAACAGACTTGGAAATCAAAAAATCACATCCTATCACTTTCACTTCCCATTCCTAAAATTGAGGACAAGATACTTTCCTTCTCTGAGATTTAGTTTCTACCCCTGTAAAATGGGAATATATATTTGAACACCAGCCTCACATGGTTTTTGGGAAAAATGCTTCATAGAACTATAAAAGGCTATAGCAATGTGAAATATGAAAAATTAGGCAAAGTGTAAAATGTTATTATTCCCCAAATGCCCTCAAATTCTAATGGAAACCATGAATGTCAATAACAGTGACCTCTTAAAACTTCAAACAGGCCTAGAAGTAAACACAAAAGGATATCATTTGTTTGTTGTTTGTTAATTCTTTTGGTTCTTATTTTTTAAAAGCTAGGTAGTGTTTCGTATATGACTATTTTTGTTGAATTTTATAATCATTATCAGGGCAGCTAGACAGATATGGAAGAAGTGGATAGAGTGCCAGGCCTAGAGTCAGGAAGACTCCTCTCTGCGAATTCAAATCTCGCCTCAGACACTTAAGAGCTGTGAGACTCAAGGCAAGTCATTTAACCTTGTCTGCCTCAGTTCTTCATCTGTAAAAATGAGCCAGGGAAGGAAATGGCAAACCACTTCAGTATCCTTCCAAGAAAACCCCAAATAGGGTCATGAAGTGTTGGACACAACTGAAACAACTCAACAAAATACTCATCCATCATGTTGGCCCTTGTATCTGAAGTATCTGAAATATGTGAAGGCAGCACTTGTCACCTCAGCTGAGCCCCACCTCTTTCATCCTGAAGAATGCCATTCCGGTGAGCAGTGAGTCTGAGCCTGCCTGATGCTGCCTGCCAATTCGTTGCAAATCCAACTGATCAGCAACTTCCTGAAGACCTCCCTGTAGTTGGAAGGAGGAAAAAATATTACAGAATCAAATATTTTATCTGAATAAACTAATTCCATTCTTTGAAAAATGCAGATTTGGAACCTGCTTAACCCTTGATCTGCCCTTGGTTTCACCTCAGGGGGCATCTCCTTCTTAAAGTTATTAAAGTTCTTTTCTTCCCCACATAATATTATGTTCCACCCTTTTCTTCTCTCTTTATGTAGTTACTCTGCCTGTCTGGTAGAGTCCTGTCTTACCCTAAGATCCAGACTGCTATAAAATACTAGCATAAAAGGAATGACAACTAATCAGTATCTGAATATCAAACCTTATAGAACATAGAGATTGGGATGAAAGAAGCAAAGTGGCTCCAAAGACAACCAGGTTAAAGGTAATATGAATACATCTCACCTGTCCTCCTACCCTTAATTTTACTGCTCCAGGCTTGAAGGCATCACATAAAAGAAAGAATGCTCTGACAAAAAAAGTTAAATGGACAGGTATCTACTACCTGTGCAAATGACAACATCAAGGTATAATGCAAAAAACACTCCAATAAAGAAATAGCCAAATTGCAGCAATTAAGAAAAAAATGTTCCCAATCACTAATTAGAGAAATGCAATCCTGAGGTTCACCTCACACCCATCAAATTGGCACAGATGGCAATAAAAGTCTGGACATCTAATTTTAAGAATCATACACAAAGATGGTCCAGATCTACTTAGCATCAGACAGCAAAGTAAAGATTGAGAGAATATAGAGATGCCCTCCTAGGAAAAAAAAAAAAAGAAAAATCCCAGGAATATAATATCCAAAATTCAGAGTTCTCACAACAAAAATACTTCAAACACCTAGAAAGAAGCAATCCAAGTAGCAAGAAACCAGTGAGGATAACAGAAGACCTGACAGCTTCCAATATACATAACAAGAGACCCTGGAGCACAGTATTTCAAAAGTCAAGAGACTTACAACCAAGGATAAAAATTATCCTGCACAACAATGTAAACAATTACACACTAAAAAAATCAAAAGTGAATGTAGCAAAATTATAAAGATCAAAGAGGACCCAAATGAAGAGTATGAGAAGACACCCCAAACCCAAACCCTTCTGTAGAGGTGGGAAGTCCATATGTTTTACACATTACATGTTTCAGACTTTTTTCAATGTTATCAATTATTTGTGCTAGGTTTTTTTCCTCTTTAAAAATTACTATTTGTTATATGGAATAGCTCTTTGGGAGGGTGGAGGAATACTTGGACAACTATAACAATGTAAGACAATGGTGTCAAATAGAAAGAATCCCTGCAGGTCACATATTGACTCAGAAAACCACACATTAGGTTATGTTGTATTTTTATTTATTCTGTAAACATTTCCCAATTTTAATCTGGTTGGGGCATACTGTGGAGTTCTAAGCTGGGGGCCTCGAGATTGACACTTCTGATGTAAGAAAAGAAGATATCAATAAAAACATATTAAATAAACAAATATAGATAAATTAAAAAATGAAAGTAACTAGCAAGTGTCAAAAAAAATTATCCTACAAAGCTGGGCCTAATCCTATAGGAAAATAAACAGATAGGGGACTTTAAAGAATAGAGGACATCCCAACATCAAGTGAATATCACAAGAAAATGATAAATGTTGGAGAAGATGTGGGAAAA